CTTTCTGAAAATATGACAACAGATTTCGCCCCATCTCGTCAGTAACTGACGTGACGGGGGTACCCGGCGCGTCAAAATCGGACGTAGAGGGAACCTTGCCAAAGCGTCAATATGTGACGACTTGGGAGTGAGAATGGGTTGGTTTGTGGGTAAACTAATCAACATGCATTATGTACTTTATGGTCAACTGGAGCTTTTACAATTAGCTGCTGTTGTGATTAGAAATAACCACAAACTTCTGTGTAAAAATTCATAATGCAAAATGTACATAAAATGATTAATAATAAAATTGTGACAACAAAGAAATAATCTTCCAAACACCACACTATGTTCAAAATATAAATACATCAATCTAAATGTATTTTAATGGAAATATAAGCTTTGGGCTTTTTGAATTATTACCAATTTCTGTCCTTAAAAACAAACAAACAAAAAAGTCATATTACAGCTTTCAACATGAAATCTTTTTTTAGTTCAGTACAAATAATTACAATTCAAACTAAAACAACCTATCCTCCACCCTCTGTAATAYACGCTTTACAAAACTGTACAAAATATCACACAAATAAAATCTGAATTGTTCCTCTTTTGACCTCACAAACGTCTGTTTGTGGTGATGCAGATCCTTAAGTTTGAATTTTAAAAAATATGTTCAACTTCATGTAATTGAGCCATAAGAAATAAACATAAATTTATACATAACAAAATGCCTGTCTGTTTGTGCAATGATGAGCAGTGAGGCTTTATACAATGTTTACAGTGTCAGTGTTGTCATTTAAGTTGTCTTACTTTTCAAACACACTCCTGATTTCCTGGTATTTACAGTGCAGGGGTGCCGGCTCTCCTCCATCAGTGAACAATTAACGCACTATCTACAACTTGGAATAAAACACTTGATGGAAAAGATACAGCAGCACAATCTGAAGTGATGAAAACATCATAAATATCAAACATAGGCGTTTCGACCATAGGTGCTGGCAGCAGCGCTCCTGCTYGGTGCAGCTCCAGAGTAAACGGTCCCTCTGGATTGATATGCCACTGGGCTGCAAAACAAGATGGATGGTTTAATAAAACACACATTTTATACAGGTGCTGATAATTGGTAAATTAATTTGATTACTACAAATTATAACTCATTCTATGTCTTTAAATCAAATACAATAAAAAGAAAATAAGATTGTCTTCATTGTTTTTGGCTCTTCTTTAATAAATCAATGAAACAAATTGACTCCCAAATCATCAACCCTCCACTGCTGTGCTTYACAAATGAGATTTTCCAGAGTCCTGATACACGTTTGGGCACGTTTTTTTTAGTTTTGCTGAAATTGTCTCTTTAGAAGGAAAGTGCTCTTTCAACCAGATCACACATTCTTTTTGCAATCATCTTGTCATGAACTTAAATATTTAACAAGGGCGTAGACTTCAAAGTGAAACTTGTGGGTTTTCCCTTATTTCTGTAATCATTTATCGTCTGACCTCAAGGTAAGCATTAAGTTCTTACTTGTAAATAATCTTTAATATTAAATAACAGGCCTCAGACAGTTGAATGGTATATTTAGATTGTTGGAAACAACCACACCTGTGAGAACAGCAAACTGCTTTAATAAAGGTTGCTAACGCCTCCTTGCCTAATTGATTTAATATCAACACTCTTAATTTGTCTTCCTAATTTCTGTTTAAAAATAATACTGTTATTACTCTGCATTTACGTTTTGGTTTAATTTTTTCAGTTAGACAATGACATAGTCTGATTTGACATCTGTTATCCATTTAAAATTATATTTTCCTCATTATAATGATGCCTATGTATTTGAATTTTTCTTTTTTAGCACATTATATAAAAACTCCAAATTTGGACAAACATCAAAGTTGTTTCAGTGTGAAAAGCACAAGTGTTACTAATCCTGTTATTCTTATTCTTTTTATTATCCTTTTTCATACTAATAT